CTACAACTGCACACGTGCTTTCAGATCACACTGGCACAGGATGTCCATGCACCGGATGGTCTGAGGGATACAATCCTGTTGGACTGGAAAACAAAGATACATTTGGTCAGTGGTGGGTCTTTTTCAATGCCATATCAACATCTTTATCTGGAAGGAAAATGCATTATTATAACACAAACCCACCTCGGACAATGAGACAAGTGGTCCCTCATGCCCTGGTGGATGAGCTACCTTTTCTGGTAAATACAGGGCCATTTTTCTCTCACCGGAAAATGGCAGCTACAGACCAGAGTGTTGTCACTGGGTTTCCGGTCCGCCCATCTGAAAGACAAAAACAAAAAAAGTTACTTTTACTAGCTAAGTTGATTACTAATGTAGCTAACTAGCCCACCAGGCGATATTTAGATAGCTAGCTAACATTAGCTTACCGTTCGTGTAGTCAGACTTTTCTAAGTGGTGACATGCTAGCTAACCAACTATCCTTGCCATGGTGCCGGCCTACTAACGTTAGCTAGCAAGTCTGACTACACGAACGGTGAGTTAACATTAACTAGCTAACTAAATATCCCTTCCCTGGTGAACTAACGCTAGCTAGCATGTCACCACGTGAAAAAGTAGTTGGCTAGCTCACTAAAGACTTGTCAATAAAAAGATCACAACAGTCATTATGCTAGCTTTCTTTTTACTTGTAAGGAAGGTAACGTGCATTGTACACGTAACTACAGTCGGTTGGTATCTAGCTAAACTGAACTAAAATATAAATGCAACATGTAAAGTGTTGGTTTCATGAGCTGAAATAAAAGATCCCTCCCAAGTGGGTGTACATAACTGCCCCTGCCCAGTCATGTGAAATCCATAAATTAGGGCCTAATTTATTTATTTCAATTGACCGATTTCCTTCTATGAACTGTAACTCAGTAAAATCTTTGAAATTGTTGCATTTATATTTTTGCTCAGTATAATTTTCATAAGCACCTAGCTACCCACAGATCTTTGACCTAACCAAAATAGCTTGTTAGCAGCTAGCAAACAGGGCTTACCTTATCACACATGGGGTGGTTGTTGTCTTATCGGGTGGTTCCAGTGCCGCCTGTGGTTTAGCCAGTGTTGCCAACTCCTCAGTAAGGAAAGTAGCTATTGGCTGTCCTAAAAGTCGCTAAATGACGTCATCACCTAATTTGCATACTTGGCCATGTGCATGTAATTGTGAGGGACGCTGTAGGAGAGAGGAATAATGTTGTGGGAGACAAAAAGTGAGTAAAAAACACCCTACGTTTACATCTCACCCTGAATGTAAACCAGGGCGGGATCAGCCAGCAGCGGCTTCCCGCATGCGCGATTCATTTGCAGTCTGGACGCAGAGGGGTGAGCGTCTCCTGCTCTGACTGCAGCTGGGAGGGACTACTGCGCGAGGACTGGGCCACCTGTGAGTGCTTTGGGACGGGGGTGGGGCCCACGGCAGCACCCGCTGCTTGTTGAGAAGAGTATGAACGATACGTGCTTTCACGTCAGAGTCTCCAAAAGTCTCCAATAACAAGAAAATGTCACTAGATTTGTCGCTAGTCGCTTTTTTGAAAATGTGTCGCTAGAGGGGTCTGAATACTCGCTAAATATAGCGACAAAGTCGCTAAATTGGCAACCCTGTGGGTTACAGAGGTTGGAAAACTAGAAATTGCATGTGTGCTTATCGGAGTAGTGGGTACAATCCGGTACATAGTACAGAACCAGCCTTGCATCTGATCGACCGAGAGACCTAAGCCGGTTAGCTAACTAGTTCGTTACAAAGGCCAGAGCCTGGGTAATTAAAACAATTTGAGTAATTACAAAATGCTAAGGTAGCTAGCTAGGTAATTAGAAAAATGCTAAACAAGAATACACACGACATCTATGATTTACACGAGAAACTAAAAAGGCTATGATATCTACTTGCTAGGTTGTTACTTGTTGATGAGACATGCATTTGCATTGAGAAATGTGCCTTGAGGGATGATGTCAAAGCTTGCGACAAGATGAGTAGTTCTGTATGATAGCCACATTAGCAGCTAATTAGCATTTCGTTTTTGGAGGGTAATTACAGGCGAATATATTGATAAAAGTTACCTTGTCAAGAGATATTTCCGGGGTTATCTAAACATCACGCCAGGGGAAGCCTCCACGAAACAAAGAGTTTATATGAAGTAGTTCTAAAATCCCGATTTAAAAATCCCCGACCATTTCCGGGTTTTACCACCAGGTTTTATGGTATTATGAATCATACTGTGGTTCTCAATTGTGTATGACCAATACAGCTTTACTCACATTTTGTTTGAATATTACATACAGGGTTGTAACAACTCCTAGCTGATATGTAATTGCTTTGCCATTATCACTTAATAATAATAATAATAAGAATGGTTATTGGATTGAAAGAAACTAGCTAAGTGACTGGCAGGTAACCAAGCCAATTGAGCATTGTGGATGATCTGTATAAAACTTAATCTATTTTTCTCAACTCCCCTTGGATGCATATCACATCCCAAAAATGTGTTCAGAGGTTTCCTCACAGATTGCATTTGCTACATGCTCTGGGTCTGACTGCAGCCAATGTCTCACACACATTTATGTGCATGCACTATGGTTGGTACAAATCATGGTGACAAAATCAGGTCATGGCAGTTTATGTTCCCACAAGACCATTTGACACCCCAGTCATCCCCCATGGAGCTGTCGGTCTTCAGTCTAGCGTGACTGGCTTAGTAACTTAGATCTTAGCAGTTGCAGCATGTTGCTGCCCCCAGTGCTTATTGCCTGTTTTGGGCAATTAATAACTTATCAATAATAATAAAATGGAGGAGACAGATCTGGGTTGGCCATACATAGAATCCAGAAACCTATACACTCTTAGAAAAAAAGGTGCTATCTAGAACCAAAAAGGGTTCTTCAGCTGTCCCCATATTATAACCCTTTGAAGAACCCATTTTGGTTCCAGGTAGAACCCTTTTGGGTTCCATTTATAACCCTTTCCACAGAGGGTTCTACATGGAACACAAAATAGTTCTACTTGGAACCAAAAAGGGTTCTATCTGGAACCAAAAAGGGTTCTCCTATGGGGACAACCACAGAACCCTTTTGCAAGATCACTAGACGGACCCTGAAGTGGAATCCCCAAGGGAAACAGACCCCAATCTACTATCCAGGCGCCCAAGGGCTTAGATATTTTTTAATAGATAATCCTGGCTATGGTGGCTGTGTCTTGTTGATTTCATCACCTGATATTTTGTTGGCACACTGTGCCTTGCAAAGCCCCATTGGATGCATAAGATGGATGGACTGATGGCCCATATACTGTATGTGCCAATATGAACACTTTGTACAACCAGCTTTGATCACACCTTTAGCAAGTAACTGCCAGCAGACTCCTCTGGACCATCTCCAGTGCAATCTCTAGAAGTAGGCCTAGGCCTAATGCCTAGACAGCTTTTTCATCAATGCTTAAAGTGGACTAAAATAGGTGCTGGTACTTATTTCATCAGACCTAAATTCACACTACTGGACTTTCAGGCTGGGAAAAATTGAGCGAGAAAAAGAGAGAACAAAAATTATATTAGAGAGAACAATTCTGTTACAGAACTCTTTAAAAAAAGTGTATATGGAGCTGCGGCATTAAAGATTAACAATTCGGTCTATGTAAAAATACGTAATGCCCAAAACTAAATTAGATTGTGTCACAATACATATGAAATGTTAAAGGCACAGACTGTAACATTTCCAGCAATTTCAAATAAGGAAATACTGTAATCCTCTTGATTTGGAAAAAATGAGTCATCATATGACTCACGTTATCATAACTAAGAACCTATTACTAAATGTTGTATGTTTTTGCAGGCAAAGGAAACTGAACAAATGATGTACAATAGCTTTAAATCATGTTTATCATACCTTGAGTACTATAGTCAAAGAATGTAAGTGCTATTTGCATCTGGAAATGTAATGGACTGCACTCTTAGCTCTTAGGTGGTATGCCCATCTTGCAGATTGTGGCTTTAAGTAACCCATGCTAATTTAAAGACATTCATAGTCATGTATTACACAGAAATAGTCACAATGGACACAATAAGCTATGTATAATATCTGTTCAATCATAGCTGCCATATTTCAGTGATATTTACACATCACTGACAAATATAACATAATCTTCATGATAATCAACACTATCCGCAATTGGTAGGTCAGGGAACCTTCTCAAATTTCCTTATGATTGTAACATGTTTCAGTCACAATGCTGGAGTCAATTAATTGTGGATATTCTATAACACCATTATAATACAAGTACAATCTTGAACCTGAATCTTAAAAAGACCATAGCTAAGGCATAATGTACAAACGTTGATGTTATAGTAAGATGATGCAGTCATTGGGCCTGTGTAAATGTAATGAAAGTGCCTTTATGTTGATCTGAATCTACTGTATAGACTCTCAATAATAGCACAGCATGGTGGTATTTATGTTGTTAACAGTCTGCTTTTGGTCCATGGTCTGTTTGTTTTGTTTTCTAAATTGACATCAAAATATAATTATATATGTATAAAAAAACTATTCTGGAGCTATTCCCACTCCGTTCCACTACTGAAGCTGTATGTAAATAAACCATGTCCACCTCATCTCCCACAGTTGACCACTGTCAACCATTTTGGTTGTTGATCATTGGCGGCACACTCTAAATCTGAAATACTGCACTAAAACAAGGAAAACTGTTTAAATGATAACGAACTTTCAGCACCATACTACAGCCATTGCTAATGAATGAGAGAGGTCCATTTTTCCTCAAGTATGATAGTGCTTGAATAGCTTAACATCTTTTTAAGACTTACAGTATAATTCAGTACTTTCATGAGAAATCTTTGGGAGCATAGTTTCCTTAATTTGTCCTTAGTCAACACTGAGATCGCTTGATAGTTTGATGTCCCTTTATCGTCCCTTTAGCAGCACAAGTGCACAATCGGTATTGTCTTTTCTCGCTCTCATAAAGGCAAAATGTCCATGATCATTCTGTCAACTATGGGGGGTGGTGGGACCAAGTCCTCAAGCTTGAGATAGAAGATGCGTTGCAGACCTTGGGTGCAGAGAGTCCGTAGCTCGGGCAGTTTTCCCAGAAGGCGGGACAGGTAGTTGGGCCCAGTGGAGTCGGGGGCGCAGCTGGAGACGTGATCTCTGAGACAGGTGATGAGCTGGTTCTGGAACTCCTCCACCCGCTTTGGATCCTTCAGGCCATGGCGGTCTGTGGAGAATCAGGAGACAGAAAGGGCATGAGTATGTGACCAGGTAAAGCAGAGTGAACACGAAAAAGAGATGTAATTTATCATTATTCTGTAACACGATAACATTATGTAGGCCTATGTGTCAAGATTCATGCATATCCAGCTTGTTCAGGCAGCTCAGGTCAGGGTGAGCATAAAGATTGACTGCAGGCTCTATGTTGCAACCTCATAATGTACTGGTTTATGGTGTGATATCTCTGTTAACACAGCCTGACAGGCTGGCGTGTAAGCGTAGGTGGGTTGAGCTCTCACCAGTGATTATGACCAGAGTTGTGAGGCAGGAGAAGGACGACACGTCCAGGTTCATGCGGTGGAGGCTCTGGGAGAAGTCCATGATGGAGTCTATCCAGTCACCGAAGCCCCGTACACACTGCATACGGTGAAGTACAATGCCATTGCAGAAGATCAGCTTGTCCGTCTCAGGGTTGGACCTTGGAAAGAGAATATAAATAGGATAATCCATTACATTTAGATTTTAGTCATTTAGCAGACGCTCTTATCCAGAGCGCCTTACAGGAGCAATTAGGGTTAAGTGCCTTGCTCAAGGCCACAGTGACAGATTTTTCACCTAGTCGGCTCAAGGATTAGAACCAGCGACCTTTCGGGTACTGGCACAACACTCTTAACCACTACGCTACCTTCCGCCCATGTTTGCTATAGCTAAAATATCTGCACAATGTTTGTTTGTGGGTGCAATCAATCCAGTCATATCCATAATGTATGTACTGTATAATCCTAGCAATACAGCGAGTAATGTCAAAACAACAAAGCCATGGCTCTGTATATGCAAGGTGGTCTTTTTGGAGCATTTATTATAATTTGATTTACAGCGATATCATTTGCTTCATCTTTTCACCTGTATGCTAGTCGCAAGATGAACAGTTCCACGAAGGCTGACTCCAGTAGCAGCTCCTGGTCCTCGGAGCAGAAGGCGGTGAACCCAGGGATGCTCTCAGCCCACTTTCTTATCACGTCCATGGACTCCGTGAGGAGGTCGTAGAACTGTTTGATGTCACAAGCGTCCTCTTTCTCTGACAGACTGGCCACAGTCTCCTGGTACTGAATTAGAAAGGAAGGAGAGGAGTTAGTTCTGTTAGTTCCATTAGGGGAATGCCCTGCATTCTCTTGGTTCTATTTATGATCTATCCTTAGAAAAAGTACCAACAGCGACCTAATAACCCCCAAAAACAATAACAGTCATAATAGATAGACCACAATGGAGAATTTGCATTTGTCCTTACCTTGGAGTAGTCCAGTTTCCCAACACCAGGGTTTGATTCAATGTGTTCTCTCACAAGAGAGGCAATAATGTCGACTCGAGGCACAGCGGACGATAGGTCCTGGACTGCTTTTGGCTTGGAGGGCAGACGACCTCTTCGACCTTTTAAGCTATCTGTTCTCACAACTTTGAAAGAGAGAGAAATGTCTTAGCAACTAAGAACTGAGAGAGAATAGTGGTTATGGTGTGATGAGGTGATTTTGAAGGATTCAGGCGCAGGAGGGTAAATCACAGAATAACAGGATTTATTCTGAACCACAGAGTTACGCAGTAATGTGTAAAAACACTCCAGTGCGCAAAACAGGCTCACTGGAAAATACAAGGCACACGGATTCCCTGGTGATACAAAATACACGGCGCTCCACCGAGCTACTCTCTCCTCCACAATAAACAATCACACACAAAGACAAGGGGGCAGAGGAAACACTTATACAGGTACTGATGAGGGGATATTAACCAGGTGTGTGTAATAAACAAGACAAAACAAATGGAATGATGAGATGAGGAGCGGCAGTGGCTAGAAGGCCGGTGACGACGAACGCCGAAGCCTGCCCGAACAAGGAGAGGAGGCAGCTTTGATGGAAGTCGTGACATATGGTGAGAGATGTGGTAATAAAATCGATATGAAGGGCTCACCTTCTTTCACCATGCCTACTGCCAGGCACTTCTGGAAACGACAGAATTGACAGCGGTTCCGTCGCCGCTTGTCAACTGGACAATCCTTGTTGGCAAGGCACACGTATTTAGATTTTTTCTGTACCGTACGCTGCAAAGCACACAGAAAAAAAGCTTAGCTATGTAAGCTCATTCTCTATACCAGTCCAGCAATGGCGATGCATGTATAAAATGTGTTTTGCATTGCATGAAAAATTTATTACACACAGTGCTTGACTTGGACAGGAGCTCACCAGAGCTGAGTACCGGAGCTCCTGCACCTCTTATAGAGATTAGCTCAAAAGTATTGTGGAGCTCATGCACCTAAATATAAACAGTACCGGTACCCAAAATGAGTACCAGCACCTATTTCAGTCCAAGTCAAGCACTGATTAGACACCCAGTTATGGAAAGAAATTGACTGAAGAGAGAGGAAAAAGCTGCTCACCTTGAAAAAACCTTTGCAGCCCTCACAGGTGCGAACCCCATAGTGCTGGCAGGAGGCGTTGTCCCAACAAACAGCACAGCGACCCTCGTTTCCAGTAGGGCTGTGCGGTTTCGGCGACATTCTCCCTTCAATGAGGCCTGTGCCATCTAGGGTGCCTGGCTCCTGGGTTAGAGAGGAGAAGGACAGTGGGGAGGGGTGCTGCTGCTGGCCCAGAGAGAAGGGGTCTTGCTCAGTGAGCTGGGGCTGGGGCTGGCCCAGAGGAGACAGATCCTCCACTGACCCGGGACAGAAGGTAAAGAAAGAGGATGGCTGTGTTAAAGCAGGCTTATCAGCCACCCAGCAGCCCGGGCTGGGAGAGTTGGGACCGAAGGCCGAGTCCCAAGCTGACGCAGGCTGGGTCTGGAAGCCTTGAGTAGAGGGAGACTGGGCTGACACAGGGCTGCCGAAAAAGTCAGAGCCACCAGAAGACAGGGCTTCGTCGAAGTAGCTCAGGGCCAAGGTGCCAGGGTAGCAGCCGTAAATCTGGAAGTCATCCAGCTTGAAGGGCGACTCAGGGCCCGAGGTGGTGCTAGCGGTGGTAGGAGCTGTGGCAATCTGACAGGAGTAGGCATCAAACGCACCAGCGTAAGTGCCCACCAGGGAGTTGATGCTAGGCAGGGAGGTGGCAGAGAGCTGGTCCCGATGGCTACTCATATCCATGGATAACCTGGAGGTAAGGTCCAGGCTCAGAGACTCTGAGTTGTAGAGGCTGTTCTCATAAGGCTGAGCTCCATGTGGGGGGACATTATTCATTTCTGTGGATTCAAGGTGCAGACAACTATCTGTGAGAAAATGGACTATGACTGTAAGAGATACTAAAATATTCTAGAAGCTACAGTCATGAGTTTGGAGTGGACATCCTGTACCCCTGGGTTGCCAATCCCTGCATAGGTTATGGAGGACTGTCAAATCTGTGTCATCTAAAGGCTTGAAATAAATTCATTTCAGGTTCCAGAGTAAGTTGGTCAAATAAATGTACTTCAGGTGCCAGATTTCCTCTCCCCTCCCCTGCAGGACAAGCCACATAACTTTTATAACTGTCGCCCTCCTCCTAGCGTGTTGTAGGTGCTCCCACCCATCTAGGACATTGAGGAATCCCACAGCATCATCAAGGACCCCACACACCCCAGCCACGAGCTGTTTACTCCCTTACCGTCGGGCAGACGATATTGGAGCATGAAGTCTGATACCAACAGGCTCAGAGACAGTTTCTATCTAAAAGCCATCAGACTGCTGAACACTTGAACTGAACTGACCACCTGCTCTGATTCTCCTCACCTTAGCACACATGCACTCACTCATGCACACACCCACACAGACATACACACATCCACACACACACACATCACAACTGCTGCTACCAGACTCTTATTATGATTGCTAGATACTGCACAATTTAAACACTTGCCCTCCAATCCCCCCTTCCCAAAAAACATGTAAATATTGGACTATAATTTGTGCCTTCCTGTATTAAATTTATGCTAACTGTTTTCTATTCTACTGAGCTATATACTATTTTATCTATACTACTTTATGTTCGTATTCTTATATTTTATTACGTATTTCTTATTGTTGCATTGTCGAGAAGGAACCTGCAAGTAAGCATTTAGTTGGACGGTGTATACGACTAATAAAACTTTAAACTTGAAAAAGGCAATCTGAGCCTCCCTGACCACCCATAGATTCTGAGAAAGCATAGAAAGCCGTCTATCCCTGGCCCTGGTTTCAGTTAAGTATTTTCCTGAACTACATCTCCACTACCAGGAAATCCTTGAAGTTTAAAAACACACCAAACGACATGTCTGACACATCTGAAGGGGTTGGCTTTCAGAGCAGGGACTCAAATGAAGGAAGAGGAGTGTAGACCCCCAACTGAATGTAACAGACTGATTTGAATGTCTGTCAGTACAACTAAAGTCGGGAAGACTGTCTGTGTCCTTGTAGCCACACTAGTATGCTTTTATCTGACTAGTACATTGCTTTATAAATAGTGTAGCTGGCAGTGCATTAGATTAGGACACAGAAGGTGCACAACAGAGGAACTATGTGGGAACACCTGTAGTACCTCATACCGGTCTTAACAACTAAGCCACTACGTGCTGACAGGTGCATGCAGCATGCTTATAACTGAATAACAGTATAAACATACAGTATGATTGTATAATGATAATTTGTTGTTATTTTGACTTCTCTTGCAGCAATTGACTGTCAAATATATTTTCTGCCTAACTTTTATTTGCCCTTCCATCAACTGTGGATGGCATGCCTCTCCAATTCTAAGGTATTTTGCATTTAGATTTATGCATCTCAGGATAAAATGGTTCTAATGTCAATAATAAAGTAAATAGCAAGGATAATTCATTACCTAAATAAATGTACTTAAAGAATGCACTGTACTGTCATATTGAAAGCAATACCTGAAAGCTGAGAGCTTGCTTACCTGTTATATCCCACTAGTATTTTAAGCAATGTCCGTAATTACCTTGCCTCTGAAGTTGCTCTGCAGTTCCAATGTTATTGAGATCTTGGGAACACATTTATACAATCAATTTTATTGTACCATTACGTCAGAGGGACGCCCCGTTTAATGGTGCTTTCAAGACAACTGGGAACTCGGAAGAATACGAGGTGAAATCATGACGTCAGTTATCTTTAGGACGGAAACACGGAGCTTTAGAAAGAGGCCGGAGTTCCCGAGTTGGAATTCCGAGTTGGATGACCGTTCAAAACGATTTTTCCCAGTCGGAGCTCGTTTCTTTCCGAGTTGCCAGTTGTCATGAACGCACTAAAGTCGGAGAGATTTCCGAGTTCGCAGTTGTTTTGAGCGCGGTATAAAGCAGGGGCGGGGATCTGAAGCCAATCAGCACGCACTCAGTCAGACGTCCTTTCAAGTGACGACCTTGCGCCTTTCCATGATGTAAACGTCCTCAGAGTCACATAATCCACATTTGGTACAAACACAGTGAAACAGGGGGAAAAAAATCATAGAAAAACAGATAACTTTACGCAGAGCAAAACAAAACATAAACTTTCGATGACACAAAACAACTTTGAGTCGCACTTTGGGCAATTATAACAAACATAATCAGGGCATGCTCTCTTAAACAAAATGAGGAAGTAGCAACAAACGAAAAACATTTAGTGCATTTTACCCCAATTTCAAAGATAGACGGTAAAAACAAGTGTTAAACAAATCAAAATATATTTAATATTTGAAATTCTTCAAATAGCCACCCTTTGCCTTGATGTAGTCCCGTGTAACTCAGTTGGTAGAGCATGGCGTTTGCAACGCCAGGGTTGTGGGTTCGTTTCCCACAGGGGACCAGTATGAATAAATAAGAATAATAATAATGTATGCACTCACTAACTGTAAGTTGCTCTGGATAAGAGCGTCTGCTAAATGACTAAAATGTAAATGACAGCTTTGCATTCTCTCAACCAGCTTCATGAGTTAGTCACCTGGAATGCATTTCAATTAACAGGTGCACCTTCTTAAAAGTTAATTTAGGGAATTTCTTTCCTTCTTAATGCATTTGAGCCAATCAGTTGTGTTGTGACAAGGTGGTAGGTGGTAGGTGGTGGGGGGGGGGGTGTATACAGAAGATAGCCCTATTTGGTAAAAGACCAAGTCCATATTATGGCAAGAATAGCTCAAATAGGCAAAGAGAAATTACAGTCCATCATTACTTTAAGACATGAAGGTCAGTCAATACAGAATTTTTTTTCAAGTTTCTTCAAGTGCAGTCGCAAAACCATCAAGCGCTATGATGAAACTGGCTCTCATGAGTTATCTCTGCTGCAGAGAATAAGTTCATTAGAGTTACCAGCCTCAGCAATTGCAGGCCAAATAAATCCTTCACAGAGTTCAAGTCACAGACACATCTCAACATCAACTGTTCAGAGGGGACTGTGTGAATCAGGCCTTCATGGTTGAATTGCTGCAAAGAAACCACTACTAAAGGACACCAATGAGAAGAAGAGACCTTCTTGGGCCAAGAAACACAAGTCCAAATTTGAGTTTTTTGGTTCCAACCACCGTGTCGTTGTGAGACGCAGTGTGGGTGAACGGATGATCTCCGCATGTGTAGTTCCCACCGTAAAGCATGGAGGAGAAGGTGTTATGTTGTGGGGGTGCTTTGCTGGTGACACTGTCTGTGATTTATTTAGAATTCAAGGCACACTTAACCAGCATGGCTACCACAGCATTCTGCAGCGATACGCCATCCCATCTGGTTTGGGCTTAGTGGGACTATCATTTGTTTTTCAACAGGACAATGACCCAACGCACGTCCAGGCTGTGTAAGGGCTATTTGACCAAAAAGGAGAGTAATGGAGTGCTTCATCAGATGATCTGGCCTCCACAATCCCCCGACCTCAACCCAATTGAGATGGTTTGGGATGAGTCGGACAGCAGAGTGAAGGAAAAGCAGTGCTAAGCATATGTGGGAACTCCTTTAAGACTGTTGGAAAAGCATTCCAGGTGAAGCTGGTTGAGAGAATGCCAAGAGTGTGCAAAGCTGTCATCAAGGCAAAGGGTGTGCTATTTGAAGAATCTCAAATATAAAATATATTTTGATTTGTTTAACACCTTTTTGGTTACTACATGATTCCATATGTGTTATTTCATAGGTTAGATGTCTTCACTATTATTCTACAATGTAGAAAATAGTAAAAATAAAGAAAAACCCTTGAATGAGTAGGTGTGTCCAAACTTTGTCATGTCAGTATTTCCTTTCCCTTGACACGGTTTGCTTCTAAAGTTACTTTATTTTTGGCCATTACATGCTGATAAAGGTAAATTATATTGTGTATATATATATATTACTGTCATTCATAATTTCACGTGTACCATATAGTACATGTGCAGGAGAGGCAGTCGAAGAGGATGTGATAAACTAAAACCTGTAATGGAGAGGCTACTCAAAGCTTGATGTTGAATGTCCATTACATAGCAGAACTATGTACTGTACCTCCATGCAGGCAGACGTTATGTACATAGTGTCTCATTGTCAGTCTGGGGCCTAGTCTCAGACATTATGAACATACTGTAGTCTCGGTGATGAGCTCAAATCACACAATCCAGGCAGGCTGTTACTATCTCCAGCAAAACAGGCGCACTGGAAACAACAAGGCACACAGGGAAATATCCCGGCGATACAAAATACAAGGAGCTCCACCGAGCTTCTCTAACCTCCACAATAAACAATCACACACAAAGACAAAGGGGCAGAGGGAACACTTATACATGTACTGATGAGGGGATATGAACCAGGTGTGTGTAATAAACAAGACAAAACAAATGGAATGATGAGATGAAGAGCGGCAGTGGCTAGAAGGCCGGTGACGACGAACGGCGAAGCCTGCCTGAACAAGGAGAGGAGGCAGCTTCGGAGGAAGTCGTGACTGTACCCCCCCCCCCCCCCCCCCCCCCCCACCTCGATGACCAGAGAGACACATGGAACAAGGGGTTAATACGGTATATGTAACCTCGTTTATCCTCCTCAGGACTTTGAACGGCCCCACAAACCGCGGGCTCAGCTTCTGCAGGGCAGGCGGAGGGGAAGATTCTGTGTCGAGACCCAGACCCGATCACCCGGTACCAAGACCAGGGCCACAATGCGGTGGCGGTCAGCATTGGCCTTCAGGCGACGCACGAAGCGCTGGAGGTGGACGTGAGCCGCGTTCCACATCTCATCCGCGCGCTGAAACCAGTCATCCACCGCAGGAGCTTCGGTCTGGCTCTGATGCCACAGTGCCAGAACCGGCTAATAACCTAAAACACATTGAAATGGCAATAAGTTAGTGGAGGAGTGGCGGAGAGAGTTCTGGGCATATTCTGCCCATGGCAAGAACACCAACCACTCCCCCGGCCGGTCCTGGCAGTAGGACCTCAGGAACCTACCTTCATCCTGATTCACCCGTTCCACCTGCCCATTACTCTCGGGGTGAAACCCAGAGGTCAGGCTGACCGAGACCCCCAGACGTTCCATGAATGCCTTCCAGACCCTGGATGTAAACTGGGGACCCCGGTCAGCCACTATGTCCTCTGGCACCCTGTAGTGCCGGAAGACGTGAGTAAACAGGGCCTCCGCAGTCTGCAGGGCCGTGGGGAGACCGGGCAGAGGAAGGAGGCGGCAGGCTTTTGAAAAGCGGTCCACAACGACCAGGATGGTGGTGTTACCCTGAGAGAGTGGAAGATCAGTGAGAAGGTCAATACACAGGTGGGACCATGGCCATTGTGGAACTGGTAAGGGCTGTAACTTACCCGCTGGGAGGTGCCTATGTGCCTTACTCTGGGGAAACACCGAGCAGGAGGAGACATACACCCTCACGTCCTTAGCCAAGGTAGGCCACCAGTACTTTCCGGTCAGGCAGCGCACTCTACGGCCGATACCTGGGTGACCAGAGGAGGGGGATGTGTGTTCCCAATAGATCAGACGGTCACGGACAAGAGACGGCACGTACTGCAGCCCAGCTGGGCACTGAGGTGGAGATGGCTCTGTGTGTAACGCCCGCTCTATGTCCGCGTCCATCGCCCACTCTACCGGCGCCACAATGCAGGAGGCCGGGAGTATGGGGGGGTTGTCTATGGGCCTCTCCTCTGTGTCGTACAGCCGTGATAGTGCGTGTGCCTTCAGGTTCTTCGTACCCGGGATGTAAGACAGTGTAAAATCAAACCGGGTGAAGAATAGGGCCCACCTGGCCTGGCGAGGGTTCAGCCTCCTCGCTACCCGGATGTACTCCAGGTTACGGTGGTCTGTCCAGACGAGGAAAGGGTGTTTCGCCCCCTCGAGCCAGTGCCTCCACACGGTCAGGGCTCGGACAACAGCCAACAGCTCCCGATCACCAACGTCGTAGTTCTGCTCTGCCGGGCTGAGCTTCTTGGAGAAGAAGGCACAGGGGCGGAGCTTGGGTGGCGTGCCCAAGCATTGAGATAGGACAGCGCCTATCCCTACCTCGGACGCATCCACCTCCACTACGAACGGTAGTGATGGATCGGGATGGGCCAGTACCGGGGCCGAGGTGAACAGAACCCTCAGGTTACTGAAGGCCCTGTCAGCCTCAGCAGACCAGTGGAGCTTGGATGGCCTACCCTTTAACAGAGCGGTGATGGGAGCTGCGACCTTGCCAAAGCCTTGGATAAACTTCAGAGAGTAGTTGGCTAAGCCAATAAAGCGCTGCACCTCCTTTACCATTGTTGGAGTCGGCCAATTACGCACGGCTGAAATGCGATCTCCCTCCATCTCCACTCCTGAGGTGGTAATGCGGTATCAGAGGAAGGAGACGGACTGTTGGAAAAACAGACACTTTTCTGCCTTGGCATAAAGGTCATGTTCCAACAGTCGGCCCAGCACTTTGCGATCCAGGGACACATGCTTGGCGCGCATAGCGGAATACATCAGAATGTCATCGATGTAGACCACAACACCGCGACCAAGCATGCCCCGAAACACCTCGTTCACAAAGGACTGGAAGACGGATGGAGCATTCATCAAACCGTACGGCATCACCAGGTATTCGTAATGCCCTGTGGTTGTGCTGAATGCTGTCTTCCACTCGTCCCCCTCTCGGACACGCACCAGGTTGTACGCACTCCGGAGATCTAA